CCGATGCGGGACTTGATCCCGGGACTCCAGGATCATGACCTGAGCCAAAGGCAGTCACTTAACCAACTGAGCCACCCAGGCGCCCTAAAATAAATAAATCTTAAAAAAAAAATATTGTAATGTACTTATTGTGATGAGGATTTTGTAATGTATGTAATTGCTGAATCACTATGCTGTACACCCAAAACTAGTTTAACATTCTATGTCAACTATACTTCAAATAAAAAAAGTCATATTCTTTGACCCAGTAATTCCACTTATGAGTCACTTCAGTGAAATAATCCTACATAGGAAAAATAGATTCTCATTCTTCCTCGTCTTTTATACACACACACACACACACACAGACACTCATCCAAGAATTATTAAAGACAACAGAAAAGTATAAACAACTTACACATTTTATTATAGAGAAACAGCTAATTAAACTGAAGTGCATCTATTCAATCTATTATTTAGTCATTAAAAATCACTCTCTTGAAGACTATGAAGTAAACAAAAAAGTTTATTAAAAATTGGTGAAAAAGTAAAAATATGTAACACACTGGTTTATATTAGCAACTCGATAATTTTTTTCTTTGTTCTCTTTACCAGTTTTTCTTTAATGTGTTTATTATTTTTGTAGTAAAAAATTAAAATACACTCAAGGGGGAAAAAGTTGTGCTGGATTATTTTTTAGTATTTCCACTTCACAAAGAATCAAATCACAAAAAGGTCATGGACTTATCAAAGACCTCAAGTCAAAAACAGAAGCCACCTCAGGGGGGAAAAAAAAAAGCCAAAAGAAAAGAAAAAAAAAAAAAAAGCCCAAAAAGAAGTCACCTCTTAAATTCAGTACAGCCTATTCTGCAACCAAACTCTTCTGTAACACAAATTAGCTCACTGGTAAATAGGGGAAAGATTTTAATACAATGTGAAAATCACATTGGTTTGTAAGTGATTTTTACCAGCCTGTTTTTGCAATACTAAGTAATAACAGCTGAACCCCAAATAGGCTAACACAGTGGAAAGCTGCAAGCTGCTGAAAATACAGTATTGTACACAATTCTCATTCAACCCATGTTCTTGCTCTTGGCACAGCTTGGCCACATGCATTTTCTTGGAAGTGTTAATGAGCTCTTCTCTCCGAATCTTTATGCCTTTTATCCTGGCCTCCATAACCCTGTAGCTTCAACCCTTCCATCAGGCTATTTTCATCCTTTTTTTTTTTT